TATCAACCAGCAATCATGGGGTATTAAAATATGAACATTGTTAGGCATCAACAGCTTTGAATGACTTTGAAACAATTTGAAAATTACCAGTCTTGAAATGTAATATGTTGAAACCAACTCAGATCGTTGTGGTATGTTGCAAAGAAACGGGATTTGATGATTGGCTGAATCGTTCATGGCTGAATCTTTCAAACATTTAATCTGCTCTAGGATTCATATCTTCCACAGTAGCATGTCGAATGGCTCTCCATGACATGCCAAACCCCCACCTCATCGATCACGAAAATTGCCTATCGTGGGCAATGGGAAGCCGCGAAGCCAAACAAAGAACACAAACATCTTTTCAATCAAACTTCTAGGTCCATTGTGTCATGCAAGTTGATTGGGAGGATACACGCCGGACTTAGAGGAGAGTTCCTTCCCGTTCTTAGCGATTGCAGTTGAAGAACTTACATTTAAAATCCTTTAAAAAAGAAAAAACTGTTCAACAAATTTCAACAATAGTAATGGCAATAGCACCCCCCGGAAAGGGAAGGACCGGCAATAGCAAAATCAAAGCATGAAGGAAACATAGCATGCAACGAAGCTAAAAGCGTTGCTTTCATGCTATATTGGAATCGGTATTGGTGAAAAGCAAGAGTGCAAGACATGACAGGAAAACATATCGCATCATATCGCAAATGCTGCTCGAAAAAAATGAACATCATGTCCGATCTCCAAACATCTGCAGAAATGAAATGATTTTTGTTGATCGACTGGGAGCTTTGGTTATTCATTCTTCGTCGAAAAAAATGTACACAGTACGCACTGCTCCCAAATCCTATGTGCATTAAACCTGTACACTTTATGGTTGTTTTTGATGTATCAAAATCGCTCGCGTTTTGATTCTTTGACATGTTTTAATTCTGTCTGCCTTGAAATAATACAATTGTGACTGTAGGAGCTGAATTTGTCTTGATGTGTTTCACAAAAATGAAAACTTAAAAAAAAAAAGACGCAAAGCTTCGTCTGACCATCGACCCTGCATGTGGCCCACCTTCGCCACCCGAAAGGGTGCCAGCTTCGAACTTTCGAACTCACCCGGGTCCGGACCTCAGCGAGCGGGGAAAAAAACGCCCCTCCGGGTGCCAAGGAAACGTGGGAAACTCTTAAAGAGATGGGGTTGGTGGTGGGTCAAGTACTCGTCCGAATGTCACAAGCAAGAAACAACATGGTGTTGATGTCCATCGATTCAGTCTTAGTCCTGTTGGTTTTGACCCACATCTGTGCTAGGTGGATTCTGAATCTGGAACTGCTCCCACAGTTCAACTGGCGCATCCCACTTGCAAACTGAGCCAAGGACGACATTGGAATCCGCCGCACCTGCACGTCCAGGGATTGAATCGCTCACAGATTTTTCCGACACACATGCAAAGTGCATCAGAGTTCTGTGTCCACAGCAATTCGCTCTCTCTGAGGACTTCTAGGTAAGAGCAGAGCCCTTTGAGACTCAAACAAAACTCTTGGAAACCAGTCGAGCGGCCCGAGCGGCATAAGATCTTTCTGGCTGGACGAAGGACAGCGAAGAGGTATACCCGGCTGCCACTGAGGCTGCTCGGGAGGGGTTCGCATATGTATTTGTGATGCGAGGTATTCAGAAAGAATTATAAATATGGTATTAGGCAGTCAGCTTGCGGGGAAAAAAACTGAATGCCAGCACTTGCCAACAATTGTTTGCCAAAAAAGCTGACTTAAAAAAACTGGCCAAAACCAGCTCTCAGCGTGGGCAAACGAAGTAAGACAGAGTCAGCCTGCTACAGTTTTTGACTGACTTGACTGAATCTGACTGACTTGACTCCATCACACACAAATCTCTTCCTGTTCCGGCTCTGATACCTGAGCTTCACGACGAGCAAAGCTCGAGCTCCTGCTGAGGTAGCTCTGCATCTTGGCATCGTCGTCAAAGGCCAAAGCCAGCATCAGGCCGCTCTTGCGGCGTTCTTTGGGTTTCTCCTCATCATGGGTTGAAGACTGGTGAGTGCCGGAAATGCGGCTCAGAAAACTTGCGCTGCTGGACACACTCAATCGCGTGCTCCCGCTCCCTACGGAGCCGTCAGCATCTTCGAAAGGCTTTGAAGCAAACATGCTGAATGAACCGAAGCTCTTTCTTGTGGATCTTGTGGGTGCTGACACTGCCATGACTTGCTGCTTGATCCTTCCACCCTCACTCAAGAGGTATTGAGGGGGAAAAAAGACTCGGACATCTTGGCGGCAGGCCGCCAACAGAAGCAAAGCTGTAGGGGCGTAGTTCCCACTCTTGCAAAGAGCCGATGCTAAGTCCTCTTCTGAGAATCCTTGGCAAATGTCGCAGTAGGTCTTTTGGCGCCCCATAAACTTTTCCAGCAGCTGACCATCAGGCACTGCTGCTTCTTCCACTCCCTCGAGTGCTTTCTCCACCCGCTCCTGAAAAGGTTTCTTCAACTCTCCACGTGCCTTGCGAACAAGGCGGTGAATGAGGACAGTGGTCTTCAAGAGCTGGGGAAAGCGGAATGAAGAAGCCTTCGCCTGCCCAGACTCATTGTATGTGCTGAGCATGGCATCCATGAGTTTCTTGTACTTCGGGACGTAGCCTGGCTTCTTCTCTTTGGCATTCTCCTTGAAGAGGCAAAAGGCCGTGAGGACGTCGCAGTTGCAAAGCTCCAAGTAGTAGCCATCAGGGTCACGCACAAAATACTGTGTGATCTTCCCTTCACTGTTCTCAAAAGCTTCCACCAAGTTCTCTCTGGCCTTCTTAGGATCAGGCACTGAAATGTTTTGCCGAAACGGCACCTCGTACTCCAGCAACTTCTCCAAAACCTTGTGTGGCTCATTGGTGTCCAGGGCGATGTGAGAAACGATCAAATCACGACCAGATGGAGCATTGGGAACTCCTTTGATCAAGTGCAGTTCCAAATTGCCCATGGTGAGCCATGCACCATGTCGATCAAAGTTGGGCCGCTGGATTTGCTGGAAGCCAATGATCTCTGTGTAGAAGGCCAAGGAACGCCCCACGTCCGAGACAATGATGGCAATGTGGTTCACGCTCCGAATGAGATCCCCCATGCCACGCCGCGGAATCTCAGGATTCCAATGAAGGTGAGGTTCTGGTGACTGGGATGATTCGAGAGATGGCATCTCCTTCCGAAAGAGGACCAAGAACATCACGAGGCCCACCAAAGCATTGCAGGTGATGAGCACAGCTGCTGCGGCCACAGGAAAGGCTTCCAAGAGCCCAACCCCAGCCCCAGTCAAAGTGCAGCACACCAAGAATGCCACAAAGATACGCAGGCGCAAGGCCATGATGCGATTCACCACCACCGACCGAGTCTACCTTGACAGAGAACTGAAGCCAAAAAATTGGCTGACCCGGTTTGAGCCCGAGGTTCAGAGCAAGTGAAAAGAAACTGGACATGCTGCCTTTTGCCACGAGATACCATGAGTTTGCGTATGTTCAGCCTCACTTGTCCATTGATCTCAGACGCCTTGCCTCCCACGACAGGTTCTTGGCAAAGTCCTGCTCAGGACTCAAACATCTTCAAAAGCGCTCTCGGAACACATTTTGCAAAACTGAACCATTGCGAGCCTTACAATGTCATCATGATCTTCATCTTTCCCAATCATGATCTTTGAAGCAGATGAGTTCATGCGTTTTGTGGAGGCGTCATGGCGATGGTGGGGGGTCCTTGTGCAGCCAACAAGCCTCATTGACTCATCGAATGACTCGTGTAGACCCTCAAGGCGCACCGTCTGCTTCTTGGTCTCCTGTACCGGGGCAGCTCCTTCACTGCATTACTAGTTGGGAAGCCAGTGCTGGATGACTCACAATGGGGGTATCAACCAGGAATCATGGGATATTAAAATATGAACATTGTTAGGCATCAACAGCTTTGAATGACTTTGAAACAATTTGAAAATTACCAGTCTTGAAATGTAATATGTTGAAACCAACTCAGATCGTTGTGATACGTTGCAAAGAAACGGGATTTGATGATTGGCTGAATCGTTCATGGCTGAATCTTTCAAACATTTAACCTGCTCTAGGATTCATATCTTCCACAGTAACTGAATTTGAGTTACAAAGATCGTTAAACTGCGAAATAATGTAAAAAATAAATTGGTTGGTTATCATAACCAATTGAACAATGAATGTTTCCCCCAGAAACCAAAACACCACAAAACACAAGTGCGGCAGCAGCTTTTGCTATGGGCATTCTTGGGCTAAAGTATTGGCAAGAGTTATAAGTGATGACCCGACAGGAGGGATACTACATAAATGCACATAAGAAAGAATGGGTATAGTAAACATCCATTTCTTTCAAGCACAATAAATCTTAAAATGATTGGCATGTTGGTACCCTTTGATACGCAATTCTTTCATGTGATTTTTCCCTCTTTCACAAAGCAAGCGCTTCATGATGTTGTGCTCTTGTGATTCTGCTCGTGGCTATCAATCTTGACTGTCAGTCTTGATTCTGCTTCATTTGGCATTCTTTCAAGATCTTTCAAGAAGTTGACAGGCTGAGTTCGCCGCCATCGGAAGGATTCCGATGGTGTTTGGCTCCGTTGCATTGAAAATGGTGGCAGTGAGCAACCTGATTTTTGGCACACAACGATGACGCGCCAAACAGGATGAACTCTGAGGGCAAAATATGACAGAATGCGCACCACATCAAAAAGTGTCTCGAACTACGTCACGCAGTGCACTGGGTGCAATGCTTGCTGTACAAAGAGATAGCAATCGACGAGTAATCAATGTTCTACAGTAGTAGTGTTTCGTTGCACTTGGCATTTCTTCAGTTTTTCTCTCGTCATTCCTGGTCTTACCTGAGTTGAACCTATCACTTTTGACTTACCCGACTTACCCCGCATCAGCCATTTCAAGGAAAAGTGGCCAAGCTGATCTTGCCCACACCATGCACAGAAACCTGGCAGTATGCGGATGTGGCCGAATATTCAGACCCGCTTGGGTGCTGCTTGGGAACTACTTGTGGTAGCCAGATTGTGCCCAAATTTCCCGGGAGCGGAAGATTTGCTCCAGCAGCAGCAGCCGGGCTAAGCGATGGGGCCAAGTCATCTGGCTCAAAGAAATGCGCCTTCAGCGCCACACGAGTTCGGGGCAGCCGGGGCAGGATTCAACAAGTTCGGCAATGTTCAATAGCACAGACTAGCGCTTGCATGCACATTGAATCTGTGAAAATCTGTGAAACATTGTGAAACAATGCGTAAAATCTGTGAAACCTTTGAGGCTACTTTAAGGGTCCCACAGCCACGACGCTGGAAGTCGCAAACCCTCAGCACCTCCGATAGCGAATGCTACCTTGGGAGTTCACGGTGAGAAAGCAGGTTTTGACATATTTGCGCGCAATGGCACGACTCAGCATATCGTGAAGCTGCCAGAAGAAAGACAAACCAAATTCTATTGGAACAAACAACAAATGATATACTAAATAGTTTTGATGAGAAAGCCGATGAAAAATTGGCTATGAATCGCAAATAAAACCGGTGAAACCTGGGCACGTGTCCAGAGGCAGTGGACTGTAGCATCTCAGCAAAGACCATGCTGCTCATTTGCACGCCCATCCTGTCCAACACCTGAGCGCATTTTCTGACGATTCGGTAAAGGCCCGGGAACTCAAAATGAGATAAACTAACCGTAATTAACATGAATAATAATCGGTATTAACCAACGCGTTAACCGGTTGATTTTGAAATTGGCCCTTTTACGCGGTGGTCCCTGCCGAGCGTCGATGCCGCTTGAGCCTTCGACGGCATTGGCCAAGGCCTCACCTGTTTTCACGGTTCTGAAATTGATATTTCCGCGAGCAGATGAATTTCAGATGAAGCAGAAATGTCACAGCTGAAAGATTTGAAAAAGTTGAATTTCGCCCCGTTTTCTTTGTCAAACGGACACCCAGCAAATCACAAACATCAAAGTCATCAAATGTGCCTCCCAGAGGGGCGTGTCATCAGATTCTAGCAATACTGCCCGGCCGCTCCGGGCGAAAGTTTCGATAGAAATTCAGCAGCTACAGGGGATCAAGGGTCCATAGGAGGGTTGATGACGTGCATCAGTGCTTGGTTGCTTGAATGACTGCAGGAATGGCCAACTGAATCATTGAATGGCTGAATCGGCCACTCAAAAATTTACGAACAAATGGCGAACAACACCCACCGAAAGAGCCTCCCCTTCTATCTGAGTTGGCTGCCCCTACTCTGAACAGTTTCTTCTGCGCGCTCTTCTTTTCTCATCGTGTTTTTATCCAGGCTGCCTTCTATGAACTACTCTGTATCTCTGCTATTTCACCCCTGGACCACAATGTCTATGAGCCACATCTTGTCTGAACTACACCTTCTTTCGGCTATTTCATCTCTGAAACGCCTTTTCTCTGAGCTACTTATTCTCTTAGCTACCCCAGGTATTCATATATCCGAACACATCTGTGGGTTAAATCTTCTCTGAATTCCTCATTCTTTCTGAGCTACCCCCGTCTAAGTCTATAAGCCAACTCTTCTCTGAGCTACTTGCAATTTCCTCTGAGCCAACTACCTCTGAGCTACCTCTTCTTAGGGTTCTTTCTTACTTGTGTCTTTCTACCGTAAGCAGCCTCTTCCGTGAGTTTCTTCTTCTCACGCAGCCAACTCTACTTTGAACCAACTCCTTTCTGAGCTATGCGGAACTATGTCTTCAATGAACCCAGTTTTCTCATTGCCCAACTGCGACAATGCATGTAGCAACCTCAAGCTACGAAGGTCATGCCAAATCTAAACTCTAAACTTTCTAAACCTATCCTTGGCGCAGCCGGTCCACCGCGTTTGGCAAACAGAATTGTCCTTGCGCAGCTGCTCCACATATCGAAAACGCCGGTCTCACTGCATAGCACGGCCCAGCCAAAGGCACCAGGAAATACCAGCAATTTCCGTGGTCGGAGATTGTGGTGTTTTGGAATTGTTTTCAATACCAAGCTCTTGCTGCAGTCTCCCGCACTTCTCCCCTCCTCACCTTCCAGAAGTTATCTTGGATTTTGTGCGCTTGCGTGACACTATGGTTGACATGTATAAGATTGCTTCTTGATGTGTCCGTAACTCGGAAGTTTCTTATCTACTTCCTTTGAACATGCTCTGTATACGGTATAGTTGCTGAAAATCCTGACTGGGAAAGCAGGAAGTTCACACGACTCACGTTAAGATTCGTTAAGCCTCAGCAATTCTACGACGCATTCTTTAGACGAATCCTGGCCACACAGCATGGCTGCGGCCTGTGGAATAGAAAGTAGTTCGCACCAGGATAGGCGGCTTGCCCCGCAACAGTCTTCGCTCGTATTCGGACGCTGCTAAAGTCTCCCATCCTCTCTCCCTGCCGAAGCTAAGTAATAAGGAAGACAAGGAAGATAGCCGAATTATGCTGAATTGGTGGCAAAAAAACATTGTTAAGGCCGCCTTTTTCGGCAAACTCTCGTGCCCTGGAAGTCAAGTTTATACTGGTTTTGAGATGCTGCATGATGCCGTGACAAAGTCACACGCCAGGATTGTGATCGGGCCGCCACGTTCCCAACAGGAGTTTGAATGGCACCTGAATGCATCGTATGTTTGAACTCATTGAACTGGGTTTTTTCTCATTTACACTGCGACGAATAACGCATGTTGCATCATGTTGCCACAGCTCAAAGCCGCACGCTTCAAGACATGGCCTCGTGCGCCCCACTGCGTGCACGACAATACGCACAGGGCGGCACATGGCACTTCCTGCAGTTTCAACCCACAAGTGGTTCATAGATTCATGGTCATTTCATAATCATTCTGTCTTCTTTCATAAACAGATTTCTGTTCTTCTGTCCCCTGCTAGCTGAGAGCCACTGTATTCCCAAATGTCGGAGGTATGAGAGCCTTCTGGGTTCGAGCTATCTCAACAGATCTCCCTTAGGTCCCTTAAAAAACAAAAAGAACGTTGTCGTGGGCGAACAGCATGTAATGTCAACTTGCTTCACCTGACGTGGCCATTTCGTGATTGTGTTCTCTGGCGCAGATTCGGACTGCACCATGGAGACAGACCGGGCAAGTCGCGAACCACCGCCCGAAGCTTAAAAGCCGACCACGATTTCAACAATCTTCAAATAGTCTCAATTGAAAAAAGTAAAGCACGAAATCGCTGCTTTTCCTTGCGAGAAACTGCAATGGAAAGAGAGAAAGAACAGCAAACAAATACACATTCTGACACAAACAAGGAAGAAGGCATGCGGGCAAAAAGACGTAAAGAAAGGCGACGAAAGGGGAAAAGAGATCAGCTCAGACGAGATAGAAAGAGATAAGTTGAGAAGGATCAGTTCAGGTGGAGAACAAAGGAGATGTTGAGATAGACCAGAACATACCAGAGGTAAAGAGATCAGCAAGGTAGAAGATGCTAGAAGTAGAATCGAGACTTGCGAAGCATTCCATGGGCTGATTTGCTGGTCGGAAAAATGATCCATGTTTGCCCATCCAAGGCTCGAGAGATGCAGAAACACAGAAATTTCGACGCAAAATTCAGGGGACAGCAAGTCTCAGCAAGTCTGGCAAGTTTGCCAAACCAAGTGATTTTTCTGTCCTCAACCAGAGGAAATTCGGCAAACGCAACATGGCACAAGCACAACGCAACACACAACGGTGTGGCTTTTGAAGACAAAAACAGCAATCACCAAGTGATTTTGTTTTTCTTTTCATAACAATTTCGCAGTTTACCATGCGCCCCATCAAAGTGGGGCACCTGCAAGGACCAAACATGCCACATCAAATTCAGGGCATCTTTTGTCGCAAAGTTCATAAATTTGACAGCTAAGATCATTCATAGGTTTCATTCGGATTCATGATCATTTGAATTTATTGATAGGACAAAAATAGCTCTTGAAGGAAGAAATTTGGAGACGGAAGAGGAGCCTGAGGAGGACGAATAGAAGGAGTAGGGGAAGGAGGCAGGGATGCAAGGCAGAAAAACAACAGCCCACGCCCCACGCAAAAGCACACACCTCAAGAACAACCCAGTTGTATCCCTGTTGTATCAAGGTTGTATCCCTGTTGTATCCCTGTTGTCTTGTCACGGTTCTGCTTTGAATGAAAATCTGTTGCGCGGTCCGCTTCCTTCACATTCAAAACCTTGCGCAACTCCGTGTTTTTTTTGTCTCTCTGCCACTGCACCTTCTTTGCGATCTATGCGACATCAGGAAAGGCAGCGTTCTTTGACGCAGCTGCTTCCCAGCACGGAGGGCCTCGGCAAAAAAAACAAACACAATCCTGAGAAGTTGCCATGTGCGCTCAAGTCACGGCCTTTTAAAGCATTTGCAAAACGAAAGACTCAGAAGAATTCTGGCATTAACAGGTTTGTCCAGGTGCACCCCTGCGCCTCTCACAGTGGGTGAGGCGCTTTTGAATCCTCTCCGTGCGAATGGCATCCAAAGAATTCAGGAACTTATACTCCAAAGCAAAGCGCTCCTGAGAAACGAAGCCAAAAACAACTACGCAGTTCAAAAGTTCAAACACAGGTTCCTCACCAGGAATGGGGCTCTGGGTTATGTCAGTTGTCTTCCTCTTCTCCTCTGCTCCTCTTCTTTGGACAACCTACTTCCACACAGCTGCGACTCCAGCGGGATTTGTCTTTTTTCATGTTTGACTGAACATGCTGTAAGTGAGTATCTGTCAATTACAAACTCTCCGCTGTCTTTTGGATATTTGATTGCAAGGACATGTTCTAAATCACAGCATTCTTTGTGCTTCATGGTTCTTTGGTGTTGCCTCAAACAGCGGTTTGGCCGTCACCTCATGACTCAGTCGCTGGTTGCCCAACTTCTCGAAACAAATTTGAGATGCGCGTGAGATCAGGCTATGGGAGCTAGAGGGGGACACGTCTCATGGAGATGTGCGAAGAGAAAAAGCAGACGAGTTCGATGAGAGATGAAGCAAACCGAGATGAGAAAATACCAGATGAGATGAGACCAAGAGCTCAAGTGGGATGAGATGAGATATAGTTAAACAATCTTAAACAACTAACAACAGGTAAAACAGGTAACCATGTTTTTACTGACGACGCTTTCAATTTGTCAAAACTAACATTCCGACCTCAGAAAATATGCCACGCGGCAAACCGCCAACAAGCAGCGCGGTGACATGGTCCAATCCAACTTTAGCTCTGGGGGACGTTCCTGCCGCCCTCAAAATAAATGAAAAGAAATCAGGGGCTGGAGGGAAAGGTTTTGGGAAGCTTCGCGGAATGTTTTTCAGAGATGCCCAAAAAGGACAAAACAACTTGATGTTCCACTGTCTGGTCACGATTCGTTCATGATAGTGTTGGTCTGAAAGAAGAACAATTGAATTTAACAATGTTTTTGGCTATATATATATGGTCATGTTTGTTAAAGCTAAGCTTGCTTGTGAAGCCTTCAATAGCTGACTTGCAGAGACTTGAACTGTTGCAGTTCGCCCTCTCAAATTGTGTTCCTTGAGCAACGTGTGGTGGGGTGGAGGGAGATGCGGAGGCAAAGTGATACAATAGTGTGGAAGGATTAAGCGCAGGGGTGGATGGTATTGTGGAGAGAAACGCAGAACATATAGAAAATGATGAAAATAGGTGTATATATATATATATACATTACATTGTTATATGCTATGTTTTTGATTCTAATTAGGGCGCGGGTGAGCCCATTTCTCCGATGGATCATCCAAACCTTTTACTGAAGAGCATTTCTGTAGCACTTTCCTTTCTTGTGACTGGGGGTCAACATGTAGCCAGGGCCATGAATATTCAGGGAAGGGAAAGCGTTCATGTGATAAAACAAAATTAACGGTAACAAAGAAACTTGAAGAAGCTGCCGTTTCTTAAAGGAAAAAGGCCTCAATTTTCCTAACCACAGGGCCACAGGATGGAGGGGGGCAGAAGGAACCAGTCATCACCAAAGTTTAAGGGAAGACTTACCAAAGGCTTGAGTTTGGTGGGGTGAGGTGGGAGGACCAACACCCTCAATGGGGGTGGCTTCTGCAGAGGAAAGAGATCACATGGCACTTTGGGGGCACACAAACGAGCGAATCTCGACGTTTACACACCGAACCATGAACGTCTGAAAACGACCTTGTGCAAATTTGTGCAATCTGTCTAACTATATTTGCCGTGCCGGTCCCGCTTGCGTGTTTCTGTTTCTGTTTCTGCGGGCTACGCCCAGGAGTTGAAGTGTCTGATTGCCATAGCCGAAATTGCCGAGGCTCCTTCAGTTCACGCACCAAATCCACGTGCTGACAGAGTGAACTGGAGCGATTTCCTTGCGAGTTGTAGCGATGAAATTTTGCCTGTTTGGGGTAGCCACGGATGCGCAGAAAATCGCTGAGCCGTTGAAATGTCGTCGCTTTGCTCAGCAGCGTCTTCTCAACCACAAGGAGACGATTCCCAAAGACCTCCAACCACTTCTGCCACATACGGACCTTGCGCAATCCCGAAATCTATATCTGCCCCATGGAGTTCAGATAGGCAAACCGGGCAACAATTGCACTGAAATTGCAGAAAACGATATTGCAAGCTGGTTTCTATCAGTTTTTCAGAAGGTCGCATTGATTGAACGCAACCTCGAATCGAATCTCACAAAAACCCTCCAAATTCAACCGAAGTTCCATTCCTGGTCCGGAATACGCGTCCTTGAGTAATGAGTAGAAAACCTCCTTTAGCTTCGTATCATTGATGCTTCCATTCCGCGGCAGGTTCCCGTGCAAGCGCTTTTCGAAACGATCCAGCGGGTCGCACAGTGATAGCACCACTTTCCTCAGAATGCCGTGGCGCAGAAAACTTCTGAAAATTATGCAAATAGGATGCGGCACTCAGATTTGCACCTTGCCCCCTTGCTAAACGCTGTGCTGCCGAAGCTTCAAGTGTTGGTTGTATGCCAACGCTTTCAGCAAAGTCGTGGCTGTCCAAATCCATGGTTGGTAGAGACCCACTTTCCTTGCTGCAAAACGCAAGGGAAAACTTCTGCGTCTTCGATCTTCCCATGTATTGTGCTCTGTGACTCCGTATTCTTTCGTGCTTGCCCAAGTCGTACAATGATTAGTGTGCCATTAGACATTCCATATCATTCCATCATCAATTATCCATCAGTAGGTGCCTCTGTCAAAACATGTCAGAACGGTGCTGCCGCAGCACTGCTGGCGGAGCTTCGCCCGAAAGTCTCTGAGGCGTTCCACCTTGCGCAAAGAGGATAAACAGCATCACATGTTTCAATGATATCACATGTATCGGCAAGCTATGTGTAACATGTGTTGTAACATTATGTAAAATAATAGCACAAAGATAAAATAATAACACAAATGTATACGTATAAATTATATCTATATATACCCTAAGCGTCTAAACCCTACAAAATTGTAGGTTTTTAACTGAAACCTCGTGTTTACCCGTGACACGAAGATAAACCTCGTGTTTTGAAGTAAAAACTCGGTTTTTTCCATCATCCCTCCGATTGAGGCCTCGCAGTGCTTCGTGATCTGGCTCCACCAGTGTTGAACATGATATCAGTGGCCCATGTTTGCCCCCTATGAAGATAATTATTTTTTTGTTAGGGTCATAGACTCTGGTGGTCACTCTGGAGTTCCCAAACCAATTCTTTTAGACTGAGTCATCTTATTAGACTTCATTGGTTTGGAAACTCAATGACTATTCATCTCTCACCTCAACATCATTCAGAATACCTCAGTTGCTAAATCCTGTGCTCATCCAGTAGATACCTCTAATATCCTCGAATCAGTCTTTGTTTGGGGAACCACTGTTACACATCATGGTCTGTCAACGAAAGAAACACACATTTTTTTCCACAGCAGACATGGGTGTTTAAGTTCTTTTTTAAGTATACCCGGATTGCCATCAGCACTGTTTGTGCGACGTGGTCAAAAAAAGGAAAAACAACAACAACAACAACAACAACACCAACAATAGCAAGAAGAACAACAGCAGCAGCAACAACACTAAAAAATACCTATTTTCAAAAATCATAGTAGACAAGTGGGGGGCCCATTGCTTGTGCAATGGCGGCTGTGAGCCAGCGCAATGAAAGATGTCTGATTCTGAGATCAGGTGTGCTTGAAGTGCGCTTCATCTTTTTAAATAAACGGTTAAATTATGCGTGTTTTGCATTTTTTACTCAAAAATAATGTGCATTCGGGTTTGTTGAAATTGAGTTGGAATTCAGTTTTGGGAGTTCAGTATGCATTCGCGTCCAAAGCCATTTTGTTTCAACGCGCCGCTCGCTGCTGCCATGAGCAGAAACAAGGAGACCAAACTTACTGACATTGATGGAATTTCCAAGGAATGGGATTCATACTCTGCGTTAAGGGAGAGGCTTCGAGGAGAAGAAGTTGGGCCCGATGGTAAAAAAAATCCTGGACGAATCCTAGCTGAATTCCCTTGCTGTGCTGACATCAGCACGTGCTGCAAGCACAAAGAGTTTCTAGAACCAATTCTGACAAAAATGGCACAGAACAGTCACCGTTCTGTGCCTGGGATTGACCAGCTTAAGATTGAAATCCAAGAACTCCTGAAATTGAACAAAAGGGTGGACACAGACTGGGATGAACTTGACAAAGCGGCCTGGTGCATACGTAAGTTGGCTGGCTTTGTGAAGATGAAATGCAGACGCCGTGAAGTCAGTGCAGCGACTAGATTGCAATTAAACTTATGTACTTTCAACTCCAATGTGGTCGGCATCGAAATAAAACTGCTGTTTATCCATCCCCGTTTTCTGCCTGACCTGATTTCCCCAAAACTAGATGAACCTAGGTGCGGGCGTTTCACTCTTTGGTGTTACTTCTGGACCCAATGCTTCAGGCAAGACATGTTATGTTTGGCTTGTTTGCCTTTGTCGCTTGTCCCAAGGGTTTCATCGGCTCCTGCCAGGAAGATGTGGACACGATGCTGGCGAAGATCCAAGCAAGACGGTTGAAGAGTGGCCGGAAGGACTCGGATTATTTTTTTGGATGGTTCTGTTGGTTTTACATTTTCATTGAGGCTTGTTGGAGTTCAGTATTTGCATCCAAAGTGTTGTTCAAATTTACAACTCGCCATTTCCCCAAAAGGACAAGATCGCTGACGACGAAGATGCGTTTGATGACGAAACAGAATCAGAGTCTATTACAGATGATGATGATGATGAAGATGGAGAAGAGACTAAACCGAAACCAGAAAGTAACAAACAACCAGCAGGAAGCAGTGACAGGCTCGAGGAGAAACCGACGGCTGAGAAGAACACTGCACCCGTCCCGACTGCCCCAGGTCCAGATTCCGTGGCCACTGGCAACAATGCCAAGGTGGCCAAGAAGAAAGGAAAGGACACCAGAGATACGAGCGTGGTCTCTAGCCCCTCAAGCAGTTCTTCCCCCAGTGCTTTAAGCTTTAAACATCTTGATGTCTTGGATTTGAAAAATGATGTGAAGGTTCAAGCTGTGTGTTTCTAGAAATGTGTGCTGCTATATAATGTTTTGCAGCCGCGTTCTTGTCAGCAAAGGTTGTGGTCTCACAGATATTGAAAAGAAACGGCGAGACATTGTCCAGAAATTGGCTGAGTTGCCAGGATGCGATTTTGTTCAACTATATGAACTGCAGTAGTACTCACATGACATGTAGTCTGTTTATGGTAAATCTTTTTGGCTACGTTCATGAAATGATAGCCTACAAGATTTTGATGAGCAGGTGTTTCTGGGTTTCACATAAGGCCCATAAATGTTGGGTGCCACTTAGGCTTCGCAAGAGGAAAGCGCAATCGGTGCCAGGACAACTTTCTAGGGCTGCAATGACATACACACACAATCTATGAATGCTATACGCATGACATGTAGTGTATGTGTATAATCTATGTTCCTGTTTGTGCGGCTTATGTATGGATTTATGGATGTGTTCAATTTCTATCTCGTATTTTTCACAAAATGGGCTACGTTTGGCAGGATTGCTTGCCGTTGCTGACAATGTGGAGACCCAACCAATTGACGTCAACACGATTCCCAGCCCACCTGAGCCTGAAACTGTTGTGTCACCACCGCAGTCGGCACCAGATCGCCGTGCCAAGTATCGGAGAACCAGCAAAGAGAAAGACAAGAAAGCAGAAGAGACAAAGTTGAATCCACCCAAGACAAGCACTGGCCCAGGAAAGAAAACCGAAGAGCTTAACGCCGAGCCCTTCACCAGTTCGGATGAGGAGGCCCGACTACTGGGGTAACTTGCGTATATGTTCAGGGATGGATGGGTACAGTCATGCAGTTGTACTTGTTGTTTCTTGGCATTGTTTCTCACAGTTTTTGCATTACAATTTCGGATTTTCTAGTTTCTGATTCGTCCATGTTTGTTCTAATGTACTTGAAACCTCTTACACCGGACTCGGCAGGAGCAGGAGCCCAAGAGATATGTCAGGCGACAGGACCAGCTGAACAAGGGCAGAGGACGCGGACGCGGACGTGGAAGAGGAAGAGGGAAAAAAACACCTGAATATACCAACGAGGAATGGGATGAATGGATTTACAACCAATGGGATGAAATCTGGTATAATGAAACGGGTGATGATGGATCCAACTGGCAAGCGGACTGGTCTGAACCTTCCAAGGCATTTGATCGCTATGCCCATTTGGATAGCAAACAAGCCCTGGGAACTTTGAGGAACAACAGTGATGGCCCATCCAAGACAAAGAAGGCAGAGCTTGAGTCCGTTGGGACTGGAAAGAAGACAAAACGTGCAAAGAAACGTGAGGAGCAACAGGTGGAACCAAAGGAGGAGGAGGAAGAGGACAAGGATACTTCCAAACGTAAGAGCAAAAACAAGGACAATGCAGTTGAGAAGAAGAAATTGAAAGACAAGTCGGAGAAGAAAGATGAGGAACCCAGCCCCGACCCAGAGCAAGTGCCCAAAACAATCAAAGCACAGGTGGCAGCCATTGTTAAGTACTTGAAGTCAATTCAAGCTATGAACTTGCCGGTTGACACTGAGACTGACTTGACTGATGAGATCAAAGCAAAACTTCGGGTAGAGACCCCTAGCACCGCAGAAGGCAGGTTGAGCTGCTATTGGAAAACACCTTCGACTGGGGTGTATTTGAAGAGTGAAAAGCGTGAATGTAGCAATTTCATGATGAGAGACCAAGACCAACCATACCTCTTGAAGCTCGGGGCGACCCTGAAAGCTGCTCATTTGATGGTAGCTTGAATGAACATACGTTGTTTGAAGGAATATATGTTTGAACCACGGTGGTGTGCAAACATGTTCACATTGTTCTAATTCTAATACTTCTAATACCATGTGATCGTCAAATTTTGGAAAGGCTTAATTTTGTTTTTGTGATTTGGTATGAAATTACTGGTCTTTTCTCCCTTGGGTTTTCCCAGGCATCCTACTTCGATGAGATTTCTGCTGATTCGCCGGGGGATGATGAGCCATTATCGGAACGAACTGATGTGGTGGAAATGAAAATTTCCCTCAAGTCAGCAGCCATAAAGGCTGTACAGCGGGTGATGTCTTAGAAAGGGTTTGCATTGCAGCATGTGTTGCTGCAATCATTTGCGTTTTGGGGGTGCCAGTACCAACAAGGTACACAGGCAATGAAAGTGTATCCATTCATTCCGCTACATGGTCCCAAACGGAAACAAACATATGCTTATTTTTTGGGGGCTTACATGGATGTTTGTATTTATTGTGAGGGACCCCCTAATACAATTATCACAACTTATTGTGTCATTTTGGTTCTATATACTTATTGGGTGATGGGTCTTGAAGCGGGTGGCAATCCGGGCATATCCTGCAGACTTAGCCAGCCCTTTGGACAAGGATTTTTGTTAGAATTAATATATGATTTAATCAATATCTTTCTACATAAAGTTGGTCAATCAAACCAAATTGAATGAAAAAAACAATAGTGTTTTGATTGCGTAGAAATGCCTCGTCCAATCATTCGGCTGGATGTCAGCGGGCAGATTCCAAGAGCAAATTTCGAGTGGTGAAAAAAAACAGAGCATATCTGGAACGGCAGTGGATCTGTTTCAGTGTCACTGTTGATTTGTTCATTGGCATTGTCAAACAAAGTGATATCATCAGGGAAAAAACAAAGTTTTTAAGATGTGTGTTGTTTGTGGTGTGTTCTCTATCCCTTACCAAAATTTCACCACTCAGCCCTTTCCATCTTCCCAGCAGTTCGCGCTAAGGCCAAGAAGAGTCGCAACCTGTGGCAGGCTCGTGTCGTCAGGAAGAAATGTGTAGCTGGCATGTTTTTTGGTCATGGAACTATGAGCAGCTAGAATGGTTTTCATACCTCTCATGCCGCTTTGGGTGGATTCTTGACTCATACCCATCCCAAAGATTCCCAAAGTGGGTTTCGGATCAAACATCAAGGGTGAAATTTCCGATCTACAGTATCAAAGCAACGATTCGCTAGCAGCTAGCAGCTTGCTACCTGAACATAATCTCATACAATGATTTTTGAAAGCCAGAAAATCACCCACCATCTCTTGGGTTTGGAAAACCTTTTGATTGTCGACTCGTCCTCACCATGGTGAATTTGGATGAACTCGCATGGCGTCTAAAAACGCTGAAGTGTCCGAAGGACTCATTGGGGTGGAGGATTGGACTTCGTTACGGGTTTGAATCAAAATATCACAGTGGCTCAACCAATCAATGCATAAAATTTCATGAAGCAATGTGTATTGTGATAAACAAAAATCCATGTATCTTATGAATATTATGTTTGTCTTTTGGTGATTCCCTGTCTTGTTGTTCCCCTTTCTATCCAGTTCAAAGACGTTATTCTTTCCGATATCCTTCGTCCGGGCCTTTGCTGACAACTTCGCAGGAGCTGGTCCTTTGCATTGTCCTGCTATGCTGGAGCTACCCAACTCCAGAGGAGCATGCCATATACCTACCTGGTGTTAAACGATGGTGCATCATGAACCAATTGAAATTTCATCACCAATGGATTAGATAATGGCTGGTGGTTGTATGATGCTTTTGAGAAATCCAACCCTTTCGAACAGTAGACCAACCGCCATTTCCAAACTGGCAGGAACATGACTACTTGGAGTTCTTCGCAGGTGTTGGAAATTTGACTCGTCAGGCCTTGGCATGTGGCTACAGTGCCATCAGGTTTGATATCCTCGATAATGAAAGACCGAGTAACAGAAAGTCCAACTACATGGACCTTAACAGCGTCTCAGGATTTGCGTTTCTTGATTTGCAAAGACATGATTTTTCAACAAAAAGTCAGTGAGGGTTATATAAGATTATATAAGCATGTCTTTGTTGTCCTATTTTTTTTGAAAATGTATATAGACTTCATAAGACCATACCTGGAAACAATGGGGACTCACCAGCCGCGCATCCAAGATTGGCCCTGCTTTGCCTTCTACGCTCCAAAGCCAATGATTTTGCATCCCACCTGGCACTGAAGTGCTCATCGTTTTGCCGGGTGAACATGGGGACATCTCGGAGGGCACCATGCTGCAGCATAGGATTTACAGAATACCCATCGGTTTTCACATCTAACATGTTGATGGAGAGGACGGGTGTGTTCAAAAAAATGTTCAACAATATTTACATCAACATATTTACATCAACATATTTACAAATTATTCAACATACTTTACTCCAAATAATCATGTTGAAATGAGTTTCGTAAATACCCCAGAAAGTGTTGTGGAAATCCCCAGCCGGCCAATGTTGTACCAGGACTTGTGGCATCATATTGCTCACGACTGCTTTGGGCGGGGCATGGACTCTGGAACAACCTGAGGGTTCCGTTGCAGAGATGTATCCGGTGTTCAGAATGGTTCTTCGTAGCATATTTGAGATTGCCGGCCCCCATGCAGTATCTCTGATGTGGTTTATTTGTGAAATTGTGATCACTTTCTACTTATTCGGTTGTGTTGAAGTTAATGGCAAAACATTGCAAAACCATTAACCACAGTTCGGGTTTTTTACACATTGCAATTGCAAATCAAGTAAGGTAGCAAAAGTGAAGTGGTGGATGGCCCATTACAAGGCCCCCACCCCGAAGCGCCATTGGGCGTATGGTAACAGTCCTGCAATCTATTCCCTTGACAAAGGCAAGTTACAGTCATGGCAGCGTAAAGAGAAGAAAGATCGTATTCAAACAGCTGTGCACTACATTGACAAGAAAGGGGTACGCCGTTGGAAGGGAACAAAGAAACTCCGAGCTACTGAGAATCTTGAATGTAGATTTAGCCCTGACAATTGTGTATTGATTTCTTTTTGAATGGACTAGTACTGCCCAATGGTTATATCCCAAAGGATTTCCCAACAACAGGAGGGCCAAAGATAACCCATAAGGTTCTTACATTTTGGGGTTACCTATCTTCAAACTCATCCGACCAACCAACTATCCACTAAGGATTTACCCCATGCCATTTGCACGGGCCTTGATCGACAAGGTGGAAGATATGAAGCGCACCGCCCGAGGACAACCTGAGCTGCCAATGGAGGTGCCAAGTCTGTTTGAGACCCTGTCGTCCCCGTGGCCGGTAGCAGAGCTCGATTGTGAGTGGGAATTTGCTGGCTTTGGTGAAGTTTTCAACTATCTGCGGGGAAACCGCAAACTTCAAATTCCCGATGAGTTCCGGGGCATCATTCCCAAAGCCCTCTGAAAGATTCGGGGTTCATTTGGCTGAATCCTAAACCCGATTTTCTGGTTTGATTGATAATCACTTTCGATTTTATCGGGGAAATTCACCGTCTTTAAAGATTTTTTTCGGAAAAAGTCGGGTTGGTGATTCAAACCTTCGATAACCCGTGTCAAACCCATGTCGAACCCGTGGTTTTCCCGTGTCAACCCGTGATTTCTCCTGAAAAACCCCGGGTTTCCAAAAAAAACCTGGTTTTTTCAAACCCGTGTCGAACCCATGACGAACCCGTGATTTTACCATGACAACCCGTGAAAAAAACATGGGTTTGGGGGCCTCCGATTGGATAGAATTTTGTGATGTTTTTTCTGGGTTTTTAAGGGTTATCGTTAGTGAAATTCGACGATTCTGCAAAGCTCGACTGCATTTGTGTAGAAGCTTAGATTCGGAAATTCGATCAACAACACATCGATATGCTGGAAAAAAGATTGCCCGTGAATCTTTGATAGAACTTTGATGAATTTTCACTCAAGCAATGTCAACTTGATTTGATTCTCAAGTTACATATGCCATACATTGCCATACATCTGCAACACTGTAGCATTTTCTTGTTCTCCCACCTTTTGCCCCTAGATCCTGGAGCGCCATGTCCCAGAGTTGCGAAATGACTAGCGAAAGGTGGAGCTGCACTACTTTAGGTGATGGCTTGGACCAGGTTGCCAGCCAGTCTCTAGATGCACAAGAAGCTGAACTTCTTCAACAACTTGAGGACAGGTTTTGCAATTTCAAATCTGTTGCCCATATGGCAATACCTATATAAGCAGTTTATGTTTATGTTTTGTATATAAGGGAACCCTTGATATGTGAAGAAAAGCCCAATATTGTACAAAAACTTTATTCCAAGTTAGTTCATCGCTGGGTCTAATTGATTCTTGGCCTCTCCAGGAGCTCAACCGACTAGAACATGCCACGAACGAAGAGATGGAGGCTCATAACAGAAGCTGATCCGAACTAGACACAAAATTGTTTGAACAGCTTTGCTCTATCCTATTTGAGATCACAGCCAATCCCCATTCTCAGCCAGCCCTCAACAATTGTTTGGGAGGCGAGTGACTTGGAAAAGTTCATCCAAGAATGCGATACTGTTCCGGTGCTCACCTCAGGTTTGGTTGGACATAAAATGATATGTTTACAACGGAGCCCCAAAGATGGAGAAAATTTAAAGATATAAAATGCTAATAAAATGGTATGCTTGCACCCGTGCTCAGGCGACGGAAAGTGATCTTGAAGCGGCTGGAAAGGCTATGGGGATCAAGGCTGTGCCTGTTATTCTGCTGCATTATATGGTTTATTCTTGGTTATCACCTGTTGTAAGTGTAGCTTCAGTCACATATATAAAACGTGTATGATATGCACTGGGATTTTTTGATCTTACAATGTGCCGATCATCATCCGTGGGTCTCACTCAGTTTTCAGAATTAACATCTATATTCCAAGACTTGGGTTTATGATGGATCATGATGTTTTTCACTATTATGAATTCTTTCTTTACTTGTCCAACTTTACTGGTATGCACTAAACGCACATGGTATCCTTCAATGCCATGACCACCAAACGGCCCAGGCGAAGACGGAGCCGAGTCCACACGCTGGGGACGCTGAGTCAACTACCAGTCCATCTCAAGATGTTTCAACCAGTGGTGATGGTTCTGGAACTCCCCTTCAAGTTGTTGCTACTCCCAGTCCCACAGACAGTAAAGCACCAACCAGTGATGTCGATCAAGAAGACAAGTCAACTTCTTATCGCCCCAAGGGATTCACTCTGCGACAGGCTGGGTTGAAAACAATATGGTTTAACATCCAATGGAAGAAACAATGATGTTAGTTTCTTTGGGAAAATACATGCCCACATAGTTTCATTTCCAATGCCATACCGCTCTGCCCTGCCAGTGGCGCCTTCGGCGAGCAGCGAAGGCGAGGATCAGCCGGATGCTCCAGCCTAAGTCTAAGCGCAAGGAGTTGACGCCCCCAGACTATGTCCGAAAGGAATGGGAGAATGGAGATAAGAATGCCCTAGCAGATCTGTTGCAGCAGTGCAATTTTCAGAAGGACCAGGGTCCTATTATGTTGGGCTATGTTGGGCTAATCTATGTTGATGTTTGGGGATCTATAGTCTTAAGTATTTTGCCTACCTGCGATGGCACCCGCAATGTTCAAATGCTAAACATATGATCAGTAAACTCCATTCTGCTAAGTGGGTTTGATAGGAATACCAAACTATAGTTCCCTGGGAGGATACATTCTTTTCAGAGTTGCTGATCATCGTGAAGCGCAAGAAGAGCTTCCAGTTGGTGATCGACGAAGGTTGGTATTCAGAGGAAGAGCTCAAAGAGTTGGGATGGTCTACGTAGATCTCTTAGCGTTGGGTTCCCTTTCATGACATGCCCATGTTCAAGAATTTATGATGCTGTGAATCCAATGTGCTTGTGGTTCCATGCACATGTTGAAATCAGGAACAAGATCAATGGAGCTAAGACTCGCTGCCTGTCCATGGCCGACACTCACACCAGGCATCAACAATGTGAAACTTCAACACCACTGTTCAGTTGTTAAAACCCTGGTGTATTTCTCCAATGTGCCATCACAGCACAGGCGAAATTCCTACGACCAAGAGCTTGAGTTCTGGGTCACGATCCGGGAATCAGGAAAACGGATGGAAGAGAGCTCATACGAACACGAGCATTCCAAGAGGCAAAAGGCCAGCCTCATTTAGCACTGCTAAGTATAACAAAGGAATATGTGTACTTTTCCATTGATTTTTGAATGACATTTTCTTGTTGTGTTTCTCATGGAATTCATTTTGTGATTATTTTGCTTGCAGGCAGACTCAGATCCCGTCTCTACCCTTGGCACCGACTTCAAGGGGTTGGATGCTGCTACCAAACGGGATGAGGAGGTAAAGACTCAGAAAGTGGATACCACTTCGGTGAGCAAGTACATGCAGGACAGATTGAAACATCACACAGGTAAACTGCTAGCGGTTCCTATATATGATCCTATATGTCTGTATTGAATTTCGCCCAACCGGTGGTCTTTGCAGCCCTGTGATGCCCTTGCACCAGACCAAAGAAGCGCTCAAGAAGGTGCTCGCGAGCATGATCAGTAAGTCTGGTAAGCTTCGTTCCCTCCAACGTGAACTGAAAAAGACATACACCGAATCTGCGACCACAGAGTTTCTTGTCCCAATTGTTGGTCAACCCTGGGCCTACATAAAGAAGCGTTCATGTACTGTAACCAGTTTATATCATTTCCTATAAGATGGTTCCCATCCACAGTCCATTCCTGCAGATCCTCCAAGAATCCCCACCACGCAAAGCGTCAAACTGCAGGTGCTTGAAGGACCTGGAGATGCAAATCAAAAAGGTTGATGGGCAGTACGATCTTTGCAATGAAGTGTGGGCACAGGGGGAAGTGGAAGGTTTTCAGGGTGACCAGTTTCTTGGATTCGAATTATTTGTTCAATCTTTGATGCATACATCAAACATGTACTGGAAAAAATATTGTCATTTTTGTTGTGAACCACGTGCATGGGGATCTTAGGTGGTACAACACCACCGAAAAGAGAATGAAAGATGCTACCTTCGTGTCGACATCCCAGCTTTTGATCAGGATGTCAAATATTTCAAATCAAACAATGGCCCCATGAGTTTCATTCACATGACCTCGTTTTCTTTCAGGTGTGCCAAAGCTGCAGCTATCGAAAACAAGATCAGGACACGACATAGTTTTCGATATTGGTCACAACTGGAATGGTCATCCCATCTCTCAAATCCACCCTTCATCATTGCTCCACGCAGGAACGCCAAAAAGTTCTACGACAAGAAGGACAAATCGGTGGTGCCAGCCGTGGTCCCCAAACCGAAGAAGGAGAAGAAGAACAAGGACAAGAAGGTTAAAAAATGAGTTTTCTTTCCAAAAGACTGATGACTACATATGTCATCTGGGGTAGCTGTTTTTCCCAGTACTGCGCACATAGCATCGCTGTCTCTTCTCTCAGTGCCCCAACAACAAATTTTCACATGTTTGAAGTTGGACCCAATTTGAAGCAAAGCTACGTGTGACTGGGGCTCAGTGTCGACGAGGGAACTGGCTGAATGCCAACTTAGATGGAAACAACAATTTGCAGATGGGAAAACGGTGTATATCTGCAGCTTTTGTTGGAACCAAAACGCAGCAAATAAACAAAACAACTCATGCCAAATTCAAAAGGTCGGTGTTGAATACCCCTTACAGCCTTTTTATATATAACATATTTAATATACTCCCAAACCCTAATGAACATCCTGCCATATACTGCCAATGCCCGCTGGCCAGGTGTGAAACCCGGTCGCACCATCCAGGGAATGAGCACTGCCATGGGAGAAGGCGTCATGGCCTTAGATTGCCGGTGATTTTCAGCATTTTGCCAACTCCGAGATTTCAAACATGAATATCTTGATCCATTTTTCTCAAGCAATAGGCACTGAATTAGATCCATTTTTTATATGGGTTCTCCATGTCATCATGGCGAAACCGCTGAAGAAGAATTGTTCGATCTGCTAACTTGTCACAGGTCAGATTCTTGACCATTTCATTTACGATTTAATGTTGTGTTTTTTGGTTTGATGATTACTCTATTTAAGTATATAACCCAATATCACGACTTTTGTTGTCATCATAAGATCAACGACTCCAGGAAAAGGATGGTCCATTCCCATGGAATCGTGTGTCATCCTCCAGTCTGTCAGCTTCCAGTCGCGGAAAGTCTGAAAATCATAAAAGGGAATTGGTTGATCCCAGCCAAAACCAAGACATAAAACACCAGGAAAAAAAGGTACGTTGTGAAAAAATATCTCCAACAACCAGAAGACAAATCGAAGATTCACCTCGCCTGGCCACCCTCACATCTAAGTGTCAGACTTTGGATTGGATCCGGTTCAACTTGTGTGACCTGAAAGCTACAGCTGGTGTTATTCTGCGGCATGCCATTGCAGTCATCCAATCCTTGTTCCAGGCAGAAGAACCACTTATTTTTAAGATTGGTTTCACACACAACCCTATTTGGAGATGGACCAATGACATTTACGGATATTGCAAAGCCCGAGAACGATGGAGCGCAATGATTATTCTACATTATTCCCGTGAACCCTATACTGCAGCAATGCTAGAAGCAGCGCTCATCGAAAAATTCCAGAGCAACTCTGTTCTCATTGGGGGGTGTTTTTTGTTTTTGGCTATTTTGGGCGCACCGCGTTTTAGACATATTTTTTTGCAACCAAGCAACCAAACCAAGGCAGGCAAGGATGTAAGAATGTCAGAGCAGGCGGTGACACAGTCGACGCAGAAATCGCAACTACAGACAGCCGATTTATGACGTATATTGTGTACAGATCCTTCAAGATTCCCCCGCCCATCACAAAAAAATGATGTGGCAAAGATTCGGGGCGATTGATATAACAAAACGCAGCTGCTCCAAAAAAACAACTGCATATAATTGCATTTTTTTGCGTTCATTCGGTGCCAGCTCACATCCCCATTGTTGTTTGTTTTATCGATATGTGTCCATCCTCTACTCCATGTATATAAAAAAAATATGTATACCCCACTGTCAGCCCACCTTTCATCTCCAAATCGCTCTTGGTGTCCTGAGCCTCGCTCAGGCTTCATGCGCTGCTATGATACGAACTGCCCGTGACTTTGTGGCGGATGTGGGGGAAATGTCAGCTTCGAAGTCTGGTGGGCTTGTTGCTCTTTCGAAAAGAAACCCCAAAAATGGTGAAAGGGATTGCCATAGGCTAATGACCAACCAATGCCGACTAGCTTTGCCACTGCAGCAACACTACTTGGACTTGAAGGATGGGGCACCTCAGATTCCATTCCTACGTGTCAGAGACTGGATGCAAATGATGCTGGACCATAACTCATCGCACATCCTGTGCGGGTTGATTCGCCCAGACGCCAAACGAGAGTCTGCTATCTGGAAAGCTTTCTGGAATAACTGGGAAAGGCAAGAGCCGAATCACCCTGTCTTCGCTCGGGCGAGAGCTGGGGAAGTGGAACTGGAGAGGTGCGTACCTCTCCTTGTACATGGAGATGAAGGTCGATCCAAAAAAAGGTTGCCCTTCTTGGTCGTCAATGTGCATTCAATCCTAGGCCGTGGAATCGATGTTGGGCTACGCAGCGCAGCACGAAAGAGGTATCTGAAAATGTTGCCCAATTTCACCGGACATAGCTACACAAACCGTTTTTTGGTAGCTGCTTTGCCAAAGTCGGCATACGCTGGCCGGAACTCCTATGTCTTTGATGTTTTGTTGGAGACAGTGGCGGCAGAACTGTGCCACACAGCAAATGTTGGAGTGAAAGATCGGTCTGGTAAACAGTGGTGGGCATTTTGCCTTGGAGTTGTAGGCGATTAGCCATGGCTGCAGAAGTGCGGCTTGGAGCGAAGCTTTCTGAATGCGCCCAAGCACAAGGAAGATCCGCAGAATGGTGCCGTGCGTGTTTGCAAAGGAATATGCCATCTCTGCCAAGCTGGGCAACCTGGCTGGGACTTTGAACAGATTGGCACACGCCATCCAACGTGGAGGCGTTCGTTTCTGCAACAATCGCCTTTCTCATTCCCAAACCCGTTTCGGAACATTCCTCATTGTCCAGGTCGAAACCAGTTGGCCAGGCTCTTCCACTTTGATTTTTTTCACTGTTGGCATCTTGGCATGGCGAAGCATTATCTTGGGTCAGCGCTTGCGCTGCTGAGTCAGCTCGAAGCAGGTTCCAACATTGATTCTCGTTTCGAGCAGCTCACCGACAAGTACCTTCAGTGGTGCAAGGACAACAAACGGCCAGCACATGTGCAGAAGATCACGAAGGAGATGATCAACTGGGTTACCACTACGTCATACCCTACGGGGTCCTGGCACAAGGGAGATTTGTCAACTTCCCTCATGCTGTGGGTTGAAAGCAGGTATTTGAATGAAGACTGGCATGACAATCAGATGCTTGACTTGGCCGGGCAAGCAGCCGTGGCCGCAAACACGTTGATCAAGCTGCTTTACAATTCTGGAGCTTGGTTGTCTGCTGACGAAACTTTGGAAGTGGCCAACTATGGTTTTAGATTTCTCAGACGGTACTGTCAATGTGCCTTGATTGCTCATCAGGGAAACTTGAGACTTTGGACAATTCAGCCAAAGGCACATGCCCTGCACCACATGTTTGTGGGCTTGGCCGAGTCTGCGGCACGAGGACCAAGTTTAAACATCCTGTGCACTTCGGTACAACAGGACGAGGATTTTATCGGGAGAGGCAGCCGCCTTTCCCGACATGTGCACCAAAGTCATGTTTCACAGCGTGTCGTTGATAGATACCTTCAAGCCGCATACTCCAAGTGGGTGGAATGCGGATATTTGATCCGAGGTGGGTGACAGTGGGGTATACAATACATTGTAGATGTTAAAGATTCAACGTTACATAAATATTTTGGAACATGTGATACAAGTTTATATGTCCAAGAACTACCCACTCTCGTTGCTGATCCTGAGCCCGGGGCTTTGCACAAAGATTGGTGGCTTCTGCTGCACTTTGAGGAGGATGTGGCATGGGCAGGCAGAAACCCCAAAAATGTTCCGATTGGGAAAACCTGGTTTTTCCCCTAAAACCTCGGTTTTTGGGGAGCAACCTACGTTTTTTGCGGTTCTGGAGGGTCAAGGTATATATATATATGGGTTCGGGGGAATAACCGTGCCCCCTGTAAATGGTTCAGAAGCAGTTGCCTTTGTGTCCATGCCTTTGAAGTCCATTCGTGTAGTAGCAGACCTGGCTTTTTTGCATAATGAGCAGATAATGCACTGCCAAATGTTTTGACGTCAGCCTTGACATTGATGTGCTGTGTGATACTGCGTGATGCTCTGATTGCACTAGAAGACAAGAAGACAAATCAACAGACGATATCGCACCATTTGTGTTTTCCCCAGACGCGTCGTTTTCAGACATCCAGCTAACAAGGTGACTTAATTTGCAAGGCCTTCAAGACATCGAAGAAGCTATTCCCTACATTCGTTTTGAATGTATACTCATAGAGATCTCCGGCATCCACGGCATCCGTTTCCTCTGCGTCGTCAGCCCCTTGGCATTGGAAGGATAGGCGGCCATAACGCTCTCTCACATACCTTTTCAATCGGGAGAATTCACTTTCAATGTCATTGGAGTGAAAGCCCGTTGCACGGTCTCGCCATCCCTGGCTATGGTTCACAGGCGGTGCGGATTTGAACCCAATATCAGCCAGAGCCGGTGAAGAGGCCTTCCACTTGTCATGCACCACAAATGCTTTTGGGCTAATGCACTTCAAGATGGCCTTGGAAGCTGAACCTTTGCAACCATTGTCATGAGTGTATCGGGTTGCCTTGTTTCCAACTCTAAGAACAGCAGCAAAGAGCCAACGCCCAGTCCGTTGGTCTTTGGACGTCCCAGCAATGCCTTTGTTGTAGATTGACTTCATCACAGCAGCAGGCCGCTTGCGAGCAGAAGTTGATGAAGAGGCAGCAGGGCGACGAAGACAACTTGCTGGCCGATGGAAAGTTCGAGCAGGCAAACGCTTCACAATACGATCCCTCTGGATCTTGTTGGATTTGTGATGGGTCTTCTTGGTGGTAGCGGCCTTTGATATCCCACGAGGCTGTCCCATGTTCGTCTCATCAAAGACAACGACATCACCAGCTTTAGAGCCTAGCACAAGCTGGCCATACTTCTTGAGGTAAAGTTCGAGAGCATCTTGGTACAATCCCCTCCACCGCCGCAATGTTTTGGCATCATGGGCACCAAAGATCTCTTCAATGTCCGTAGTCAGCTTCGTCCAACGGATATTGAGTCTCAGGCCATTGACAAAGTACAAGAAAGCCAGCCAAGAATTGAGCCTCACATTTGAAAGCAAACCCACTGGACAAAGACTAGCTCGAAAGCATTTGTGGCCTCTCACGGAGCATGTCCATTGGAAACGATCCCCAGTCTCTTCCAACTTGACTTTGTGACGAGAATTTGCAGGGCACTTGGAAACCGTTGGAAAGTGCTTCAGTGCTTGGCAAAGAAGCTGCCCTCGCAGACAAAGAGTGTCTTTCAAATGCATGGGCACCAACAGGGGCGTATTCAATGCCTTCATAGCAAAAACGACTGATGAGGTAAACCAATCCTCACAAACACTCTTCTGGAAGGCAGCAATGGAAATTGGTGTGTCCTGACCACCCGTCTGCATGCTCAAAGTAGAGGCAGGTCGCTTAAAGCCAGCAAACATGCCTTTAAGATTTGGCTCTACAGAATAAGCTGATGATAGATTGTCCTTGAACTTCTACTTGAGACAAATATTTCTACAGCAAAAAGCTCACAATCATTTGCAACTGTTTGCAATCAAAAGAATTCACGCACACACAAGGAATTGCATATGAAAGTGTAAGTGCAAGCATGAAGAACGATATTGAGAAGGCAAGTGTTGCACATGTTCGAAGGATGACAAGACATCTTTTTACCTGCCAGAGCACACAAGTTGTGTAGCCTATATTGTACAAAGAGAGGCTGCTGCATACTGTCAACATACCAATGAATTAAGAAAATGAAGCGGCCGAACGGTCACCCATGCATGAAGGTTGCGGCCTCTGCGTCTGCCTCAAAGTCAACCTCCTCTGCATCTGGTGGGCTCTGGGAAGCTTCTTGTAAAGCCATCTCTGCATCCTGAGCTTGTATCTCCAGATCTGCAGGCAGCGCTGGCTTGGAACTCTGGGAATCTTCTGGTGCAACCATCTCTGCATCCCCAATCTGTGTCTCCACATCTTCATGTACGGAAGTTTTTGCACGTAGACGACGGTCTGGGATCACGAAGCTTCCACGGCGACGACCTGAGGGTTGTGTGCCTATCTTTGGCACAGGCACTGGGACAAAGACCTTTGGAGAGTCTTCATCTCCAGTAGATGAGCCCTGAGAAGCAGGGAGATGCTTGGCATGACGAAACAAGAGCTTGTCCTGGAGTTTGTCATTGACCTGCTGGATATACTGCTGGACATTCTCACACTCCGTCAT